ATATATATATATGTAATTTACTGAGCACTAACTGATATGTAACTAATATAATTGATTGTCTTTCTGTCTCATGAACCACTAAACAGATTTGATTGAAAAGTAATTGGGCAGACATCTTAAGCTGAATAACTTTTGGAGTTGATCCATTTCATGTTGGCAGCTCAGCAAACTAAGCAAACACAAAAATGACCCAGTTAAATTTTATAACACGGAGCTAAAATTTGATGCTGAGAGTTGTTAACAACACCTACTCGGAGCACTAACACAGCTCACAATATCACAAGATCACACAGAACGTCATTACAGCTACAACCTTTGTCATTTCTCATACAATGGTTTAGTCCAAAACTCTGGCATAATAGGTGGCGGGCGATATTCATTTCCATGATTGCTAGGCCTGATTGGCCTACTTTTTGATTGGCTACTCGGGGAGGGATGCCGAAATGGAAACTGAGAAGGAAAAACCATGGAGAGTGATGACAGGTGCTCATTTAGCCATCCATACACTAACAAATTCAAACAAACTCACCGGCCACTTTATTAGGTACACCTGTCCAACTGCTCATTAACACAAATGTCAAATCAGCCAATCACATGGCAGCWACTCAATGRATTTAGGCATGTAGACATGGTCAAGATGATCTGCTGCAGTTCAAACTGACCATCAGAATGAGGAAGAAAGGTGATTTAAGTGACTTTGAATGTGGCTCTGAGTATATCAGAAACTGCTGATCGACTGGGATTTTAACCCACAACCATCTCTAGGGTTTACAGAGTGTAGGAAGTAGACTAATGTAAAATAAGCCTCCTTACATACTTCTCATAATTTAGTTATGAGAGAAGTTTTTACCAAGGTATTTTCCTCATTACTTTAATATTTTTGACTGTGCAAAGTGAAAAGTGACACAATAAGTGAACGTCAGACGAGTTCAAGCTGATTCATAAAAGACTATGCAATCATTTATTTACACAAATTGAACAGATCATAAGTTACATTGGATTGTGGGGATTCCAATAACAAGCTTCAGAGTTAAATGAGGTAAAACTCGCGTCCGAATTTCAATTCACATTAAACTCAGATTACTTATATAGAACAGTAAAATGTCAGTTCTGATGTTAACAACCAAACCATTTTACTGGCACTTTTAACTTAAGTTTTGGCAAATAAAGGATAAGAAAAGGGATGAAAGTAAGGTTAGTGTTTCTGCTTTTATTTTGTTACGGGCAAAATAAAATTCGGGACGAATTTGGTTCCGCCCTCAGGCGTAGAATGAGTCAGAGAAAGGAAAGGAAGATAAGAGCTTGCCAGCGTCGCCAGTGCAAGGTCAAATTCTGTGGTTGTTTTAACAGACATTTGATAATATCTTCTTTAGCCTTCTTTCTGATAGACTAAGAGAAATCACTATAAAACATTTATGATGATTAATTAACATTTCTGTTTAAATAATCAGTCTGAACTTGGTGTCCAGATAAATGAAAGATTTTCTTAAGAAAAACTCAAAATTATATTACTGATGTTWCKYMWAAAWWAAAACAGTGATTTYSATAAAAACACAATGAAAACATGGTGATGATTTTCTCTGTGATTTTTATACCATTAATTAATCTTTTAGGCACGATAAAAGAGTAGAAGTGATTCCACTTCCTTTGTGACAGTCATTATATGATTTAACAAATGCATAAACATTCTTAGTTAAACACAAATGAATCACGAACAGAAAAGTGTTTCTGTTCATTATCTGATTAAGAGAACTCTCGAACTCTCTTAGGTTGAAATGACCTGTCATGGCCTAAAATAGAGTTCAGTGTTCCTGCTTCTGTCAGGCCTTTCCGAGGCCTGCTTCGAGGCAGTAAATCTTGTTTCTTCACTCGAGGTGACCCCCACAAGAGAATGGTCCAAAAAAGAGAAAACATACAGAGAGCAGCAGTTCTGTGGGTGCAAATGTCTTGTTGATGCCAGAGGTCAAAGGAGAATGTCCAGACTGGTTCAAGTTGATAGAACAGCAACAGTAACTCAAATAACCACTCGTTACAACCAAGGTCTGCAGAAGAGCATCTCTGAACACACAACCCATTGATACTTGAGGAGGATGGGCTACAGCAGCAGAAAGCCACACCAGGTGCCCCCCCTGTCAGCTAAGAACAAAAAACTGAGGCTACAATTCACACAGACTCACCAGAACTGGACAATAGAAGATTGAAAAACATTGCCTGATCTGATGAGTCTCTATTTCTGCTGCAATATTCTGATGGTACGGTCAGAATTTGGCATCAACAACATGAAAGAATGGATCCATCCTGCCTTGTATCAACGGTTCAGGTTGGTGGTGGTGATGCAGTGGTGTGGGGGATATTTTCCTGATACACTTTGGACCCATTAGTACCAATTGAGCATGGTGTCAATGCCACAGCCTACCTACCTGAGTATTGTTGCTGATCATGTCCATCCCTTTATGATCACAGTGTACCATCTTCTGATCATGTCCATCCCTTTATGATCACAGTGTACCATCTTCTGATCATGTCCATCCCTTTATGATCACAGTGTACCATCTTCTGACCATGAACATCCCTTTATGATCACAGTGTACCATCTTCTGACCATGTCCATCCCTTTATGACCACAGTGTACCATCTTCTGATGGCTGCTTCCAGCAGGATAACACACCATGTCATAAAGTGTGAATAATCTCAGACTGGTTTCTTGAACACAACAATGAGTTCACTGTACTGGAATGGCCTCCACAGTCACCAGATCTCAATCCAATAGAGACCTTTGAAATGTGAAGGAACGGGAGATTCTCATCATGGATGTGCAGCTGACAAATCTGCAGCAACTGTGTGATGCCATCATGTCAATATGGACCAGACTCTCTGAGGAATGTTTCCAGTACCCTGTTGAATCTTTGCCACCAAGGACTAAGGCAGTTCTGAAGGCAAAAGGGGATCCAACCTGGTACTAGCAAAGTGTACCTAAGAAAATGGCCGGTGAGTGTAGTTTTGTACCCATGCACTTATCATTTGCTTGTCTCTCTGCACAGAGTCATTTCACAGTCAGTATTATTGCACTTGTGCTTCATTTTAAATCAACTATGTTGGGACATATGCTCAGTTGCCCTCATGCCAGGTACAGACCCTCAACAGTACAGGTATGTTAATATGGTCATCATATCATATATTATTCATTTATATTCATATTATATTCATATTTANATATTATATAGTATATTCATATATAGAAAAACAGAGTGTCTTCAGTCGGAGGCTTCTTCAACTTCCAGCATCTACAATAACTCTTTAGTTAAATAAGTTACAACAACACCTAATTTCCCTCTGAGATCAATAAAGTATTTTTGAATTGAATTGAATATCAAACATATTTAATAGGTACACTGTTGTTTAAACCTAATGCCTGGATTTGAATAAAACTTTTTAAATTGATTTTATCTTGACATGTGGGGCTATTCAGAAAACATTTGGGGCTATGGATCTGAATGTTCAGGTCTAATTAAACCTACATCAGTAAAAACACAGAGAAACTGCTCTAAATTGGCCTATTTTTATTTTTAAAGTGTAATCTAGTAGAATTCATCTAAATGTATGGATTTGTGGTGACGAAAGCTGTAAAACCATACCTTGGTGAAAGTACAAACTAAACAATTTGTCAAAGCTGGAAAACCTGGAGCAAAGCCCTTATATGTTTTAGAAAGAACATGTAAAAACTCCACGCAGTTTTTGGTCATTTCATAGAGAAAAAAATGTGGAGAGAGATTCATTAATTAAAAAAAAGTTGTGAAAAAATTATAAACTAATATCGTTTTTCTTGCCTTCATTAATGCAAGCAATCGAATGATAATTTTCTCAGTCTTGGAAGAAAAATCTTCATCCCTAAACTTGTTCTGATTCTTTCAAACTGTTGTAACATATGCTGAAGTCAGCTTCATGGTGTGAGGATCCAAGGTGAGTATGAATATGTAGACAAATATAATAATGTAAAATTAAACACTGAAAATGCATAACCTCTGACTTGTGGACGATGCATGCTTGTGTCTGGGATGATCTACACTAACAGTAATGATTGGCAGGTGGTTCAATCCTGTACACTTCCTTTAAATTATGTAGTAACTACCAGTAAATTATTAAAAAAAGCAATTTGCATTGTGTGGATTATTTATAGATGTTTGTTTGTTTTTCATGTACACTGTGTTGGGTGTTCATAAATGTTTTTATTTTGATTCAATAATATTTGTATTTTTAATGTATTTTTTGTACCTCATGGGATGCCATAGAAAAGATAGGCTGGCCTTATAAAAGCTGGCGGTAATTAGTTCTGATGAATACCTTAAGTTAGATGCCAGCCGCCAATAAAAATCAAAAGAAGAAGAAGAAGAAGTTCTGATGAATGGCTGGAAAGCAACTGACAGCAGGACT